ATTACAGAGCTCTAGATGCCCATAAAACATAAATCTTACAACCCTGTAGCCAACAAGGTAGGGATATTTATAAAACAACATTGTCAGTACTGAAGGCTGTGGCTTTAAGGCATACACTGGAGCAGAAGCCTTGGTTCTCCTGCTTTCTCCAAGAATTTGGACAAATTATTCCTCTATGCTTCAACTTCATCTGTAAGAGAAGACGAATAATGAAACTATCCTCTGGAGTTTTACTGTGGAAAGAAATGGAATAATAGAGAGAGACAGTGAGAATACTGTCTGGCTCAGGAAACAGCCCACAAGTAAAAGCTGTTCTTGTAAGCTGGTATTAGTCTTGGGTAGAGATGCAGGTGACAAACTAAATGGAAGAGCCCATTTGCTACAGTACAGGGGGGGAAGTACAAAATATAAAAGTGGTACTTTTTTCAAAGAAATTAAAGACCAAAGACATGAGTAAACCTGGTTATAACTTAATAAAAATGGTCAGGGAGCCAGGTGGTTTGTGCCTGTGATCCTGGGACTCAAGAAGCTGAAGCAAGAGATTGGGGATTCAGGGCCAGCCTGAGCTAAATAAGATCCCGTCTCAAAAAAAAAAAAGTTGTTTGCTTTTTAAAGTAAAATAACAGAACACAGAATAGTAAATAAACTAAATACAGTTTCACACAACATTCCTCAAGAGATATGGGTTGCATGTGAATTTCAATTCCATAGTAATGTCTCAGGCTGGCAAGATGGTGAAGGTGATTTCCCCTAAGCCTGACAACCTGAATTCCATCCCTAAGATCCACACAATAGATGGGACCACACGCTGTCCTCTGACCTCCACAAGTACAAAGCAGCATGTATGCCCCTTCCCTCAACTCCTCCCAAAAAAAGAAAGAAAAAACAATAATTTGATTGTCAAAACTGTAAGAAGAGCGAGAAAACTCTGTATGACTTCCGACAGTATCCCCTCAAAAGAAGAAGAAAAAGAAATGTGTACTACTGTCATCATTTAAAATTCCACTTTGCTGAGCCTGGCCCGGGTGCACTCGGGAAGACAAACGCAGACCGATCTCTGTGAGTTTGAGGCCAGCCTGGGCTACAAAGCAAGTCCAGAACAGCCAGCGCTACACAGAAAAACCCTGTCTCAAAAAATACTTTGCTAATATATGGACTATATGCTTATAAATATAGCGGGTGCTTTGAGATCTTTCGTGGTCATTTGTCTCAGAATAGAATGAGGTAACACATAGAAATAAATTACATAACATTGCTCATCACACAAAGCCAAAAGAATGGAAGCAATTTTGAGATGGAGAAGACTGAATAACCACTCCCCAAAGTAGACTGTATTATATCCTTCTGTAATTTCTTAAGCTACAATCCTTTAAATATGTAAAATTAACACACAGTATTAGGGTTTTTTAAGCAGCATTTTCAAGCATACTTGATCCTGTGGGTTCTCCTCCTCCCTCATCTCCTCCATGCCCCTGGTCTTCCCTGGTACCCTTTACCCTCTTCCCACAATCTCTTTTCTACCTTGATGTCCCACATGTCCTGTTACTTTCCCCCTTCTTCACACCCTCTTCCTCCCTTCTCCTGGTTTCCTTTCAATTAAGCGATAGCCTTGGTGTCAGTTAAATTCTACTCTTAGAGAGTACTGAGCATTTACACAGCACTCCATCACTTTCCTGGGAGAAGTTAAAACAACCTAAATGCTCTTTTCTGGTGGCCATTAACTTAACAATTGTGGTAAGCATCTAAGAAACAAATAAAAAGCAACAATTCACAAAAATACAGAATTGCTCACTACTGTTAACAAAATAAAAACACACAAGTATTTATACTCTTTTTTTTTTTTAGCTAGAAAAAAACTGAAAAATTTAAACAGTGTGAAAAAATAAGGAATCTTATCACACACAGACACACAGAAAAAAATAAAGGAAAAAAAAATGATGCTGTATCACACCAAAAAAAAAAAAAAAAAAAAAATTACAATTGTGAGTTCTCACATTTCTCAACGAATAGGAGATTTTCCACCAAATTAAGTAAATCTTCCTTTATTGGTTTGTTTGTTGGTTTGTTTGTTTGTTTGTTTGTTTGTTTGTTTGTTGAGATAGGGTCTCTGGCTGTCCCAGAACTCAGGATGTAGACCAGGCTGGCCTCCTCAAATTCAAAGATCCACCTGCCTCTGACTCCTGAGTGCTGGGATTGGATGTGGTAACCCTTTAAATCCTTTAAAAAGACAGTGACTCAATTAGGTAATCATGGGTCACAGCTGTAAGCCCAAAAGTCAGGAGAAGGCAGAAGCAAAGACGGGTGAGTTTGAGACCAACTACACAGTGAGCTCTAGGTTAGCCTACATAGCAAGATGGGGAGGGAGGATACATCAAAATGGGGCCTAAAATGAATACTAAACATAAGAAATAATCTTTTTTTTTTTTTTTACAGCAGCATTTTAAGTGTGAGGTAACTTGGAGTTATATTTCATTCAGGTTAACTCAATCATAAAGCACGTTCTGTATTATAAACACTCTTAGCCCAGAGATACCAAGAGTAGTACAGCAAGGCCTTGTATTGAGAAAATAGTGTCTACTGGAGAAGACACAGGCAAACTAGGCAAACTATTGTCACATAATGTATAAAGGGAGGGTTATAATTGCAGTATATACAAAGTTCAGGAAATGTCTAGAAACAAAGTAAGTGTGGCCAATACTCTGCCCCATGAGTGAGGGCAGACGAGCACAGGATGGATGGCTTTAAATGAGTCTCACACAATGAACTAGGCAGGACAGGGACTGAGAGTAACAGTTATTCCAAGCTATGGGAATAGTCATTTTTAACCCTAAATATCATTATATATAAAAAAAAAAACTTCCTGTTTCTGGTTGTTCGGTGGCCACATGTAAAAAAAATCACAATTTCCAACACTGTTTGGTCCTATAATACCACCTGTGATAAAAACAAGCAAACAAAAAAAACAAACTTAGCCAGTAGTCTGTTCAGTTGTTGAATAACCAAGAAAAAAAAAAAAAAACTAAAGATTTTAATGGCTGCCACTTCAAACAACAGCAAAACTGGCCATAAAAACAGAGAAGAGAATGTTCAATAGAATAATGAGAATTTGAAATAACCCTGTATAGATAAAAAAGGTGTAAAGAGCATTCAAGACAGTTAAATGTTATTAGTAAAGTAGCTGTACTTAGAATCTTGAATAAACTATTTAACAACTACAAAGATGCTCCATGCGCTCAACATGAACATCCAAGCCTCACAACAGCCTACTAATTCTGGGATATGATGGCCTCTGCCTTCCTCTAGATTTTTGGTTTGTGGGTAATAAAATAGGCTATGTATCAAGAAATGAGATAAAATAAATTTCAAGGGCTATAACAAACTTTTTTTTAAGTTTTTCAAGACAGGGTTTCTTTGTGTAATTCTAGCTATCCTGAAACTCTCTCTCTGCAGACCAGGCCGGCTTCTAATTCAGAGATCCACCTGCCTCTGCCTCCCCAATGCTGGGACCAAAGGTGTGTGTCCCAATTGCCGGCCAACAAAGTTTTTATCATAAGGAAAAGTTTTATGTTTGCTTTCTGATATGGACTTTGGACAAAGAGCAACCCAAATCACAAGGTTTATTCCAAAAAAGGCCCGGGTTAAGTCTGGTAGAGAAAACTGACTTGTAAAAAAAAAGTCCTGTCTGATGAGTTGATAGGAACTTCAAGTTCCATCCATTTATGCATTCCAGCTCCCAGGAATGTGGCCCTTGGGAATGTTAGAGCCTAATTCTCCCTGCTCTAAACTTCAGGCGGGTGTCAGGCTAGGAAATTAGTCAAACTGGGATAAAGAAGAAAACGAGAGACTTGCCAAAATTAGCCTACATGCATCAACTATCCCAATGTCACCAAGAGCCCTATTGTAGAACAGGAGTGTCTCCATTCTGAAAAGAGGAAATAAAACACAGTGGCGAGAAAATACAACCAGACTCCTATTTCTGGAGGAGAAAACGAGTTCTCCTTCGCCACTCTGGAGGAGCATTTAATTTAGCAGGCCTTCGTGAGGACACAGCGGACTCTGCCTAAAGTGTTCCTGGAGGTCACCGAACGGCTCTTCTGTATGAGTGCGTGTTCCAACTCCGCTCTCTGGGACTTCACAACGCTTTCACAACTCACCTGAAAAGGAAGACCCCGACCCTACTTCCTGCAGGCAGCAGGATTGGGACTAGGTCACTAAAGGACCTAGGAAACCATCCCGTAAGTGGTAACAAGACTCCTTTGAAGCTGTTGTACTAGCTTCGCTCCCGGAATACAGGTAAAAGTCCAATGCGGTGGCTCTCACAAATGTTCCAGTCTCACTTTTCCTAACGTAAAAACATCTTGAGTGGTTAAGAAAAAGAACTGGCGAACAAAGTAGAAGTCAGCCAGACTCTTCAGAGTGGTAACTAGACGGCAGCTGTCTGAGGACAGGAGCTGCTGCTTAACCCAACTGCAAACAAAGTGTCCTAAAAACAAACTTGCAGCTAGAGACTGACCTCTCCTAACCGAGTATGGGACAGCCAACACAACTTCTTCTCGAAAATGGCAAGTCCGTCATCCAAGAGCTTTCTGTCCAGGGCTGTGAGGTAACCCTCCTGAAGCCACTCTTTAATAAGGGACCGGGCACAACTCAGGATGTCAACAGGGAGTGTCCCGCCGACGGGGCCACTGAACTGGATGGAATTCGAACCCAGAACTTCCCGCGCGCGCTGGACCGTGGGAAGCCACTGCAGGTGGAGGTCTGCGGGGGGCTTCATGGGACCCGCTCCCTGCTCCCCAGGCCCCGAACACCGGAGGAGGTGCACTAAACGGGGTGCCCGGCCTTTCCCGCCGCGCAGAGGCAGGAGTGCGCGCCGGGCGGCGGCCGCCCCCCTCAGGACCGGTGCCGACTCCCCTAAGCGGCCCGCCCGGCCTCCCCGTCGGCTCCGGAGGGGCCGGGCCGCGCCCCCCCGCGCCCCACCCAGCCGGTGCCGCGCGCCTCACCGGGTCGGAGCTGCAGGCCGCCGTCGCGCCGGCTGCACCAGAGCGCGCGCTCGCCCTGCTGCAGGATGTAGTGGTCCTTGGCTTGGAAGAGCTCCATGCCGGCCCCACGCGCGCTGGGAGGCGGCGGTCCCCCGGCCCGGGCACGGCCCGCCGGGGAGCGAGGCCGGCGTCCTCCTCCACCGCGACCACCAGCGTCCGCGCCCCGGGGAGAGGCGAGGATCCACGGCACGGAGGAGCAGGGCGAGGATGACCGGGGGCCTGACCGGCCGGCGGAGAACACGCCTGGACGACCGCGGCCCTGGAGGCCTTTCCCCCTCCCCCTTGCAGCTACCCTGCCCAGGCTCCGCCCCTACCCTGAGACCCCACCTCCTATAGTTTAATCCCGGCTCTCCTAGACTCCGCCCCCGCCCAGGTTTCTCCCCGCTCCCTTAGGCTCCGCCTCCGCTCAGGCTCCTCCTCCGACCCGCCGACTCCGCCTCCCGCAGTTTGTCCCGGGTCCCCTCCAGGCTCCGCCCCCAGGCGCCTTCCCCGACCCGCCGACTCCGCCTCCCGCTGTAGTTCTCCAAATGCCCGCCCTAGGTCCCGCCCTGGCCCCGCCCACGAGCTTCTGGTTCTGTCCCTCCCCGCCTGCGTCTCAAGCCCTTTCTTCTTTCAGCCCGGCCTGCTCCCTCCTCCCACTCTCCTTTCCTAACGGCTGTGTCCTCGGGCGGACCCGGAGCCTGACTCAGTCTGGCTGGACTGGTTGGTTGCCCTCTGTGCAGCCATTTCTCTGTCTTTCCTTGTCGGGAAAGCTGGTCCTTTCTTCCTTCTATTAGCTTCTAGAAAAGCCTGGTCAAGTCCTCGAATCCACCTGACTTTTCTTCTCCGAGGTACATTTCCTCCCAAACTCAGAAGTGCAGCCCTGTCGGTGTTTCCTCTTAGAACCTGGACACCAACAGTCAAATTACTGCACGTCCGTGGAGATGAGTTGTATCAACAGAAAATACACCAGATTAGAAGGGCTAGCGAAGAAAAAGTCCGGGGAGGTCTGGGAAGCCTGCCTGCAGGAAGTCGGTTCATGAAGTGAAAGGGATCTCACTCAGAGATAGTAAAATGGCCAGGTGGTTGTCTTAATCAGAAAGGATTTCGGAGATAAAGCTTCTAGTTCTAGACCCATCTTCGGGTCTGTCCTGCTGTGTGATATTGGAAAAATTTTAGTCTCTAGTAGTTGAATTCCTGACCTTTAATTACACTGTCAGGCTCCCAATTTTGTATAGCAATGTCTTCTCCCTCTCCTGTCTTTTTGAATGCCTTTAAAGCAATCTATAATAATAATAATAATGTCTAAGGGGCTGGAGAGAGAGATGGTTAGCAGGTCAAGAGTACTGGCTACTCTTCCTGAGGACCTGGTTCAGTTCCCAGCACCCCCAGGGCAGCTCACAACCATCTGTGTTTGGGCCTCTGACCTCTGTAGGCTCCTGCATGTGTGTGGTGTACAGGCACACAGATAGAAAGTAAATGGTTTTTTTCTTTTTTTTTGGGGGGGGGGGTTTAAGAAGCCTAGGATACCACAAAGGATGTAACACTTTTAACCTTTTGCTCAAGTGAAACTGAGGTCTCCAAAAACAGGAAGGAGCTCTAGTCATTGCAAAGGCCACACTGATTTCATTGGTGAATTTCCACAGACCAACAAGTCTCATGACAACAAGATGTGCTGGAATCTTTTCCCACAAGCTCAGTACCTGATGGCCTGCCCCAACATTAGTGGTTGTGACTGCGCTGCGAAATCTTTATGGTGTGATTTAGACAAAGGTAGCAACAATGAGAAATTCAACAGGAACTTAGAAAAATAAATCAACTGCAGATTTATTGTTGAATCCAGGATTATGTGGACTTTCCTCAGCAAAGATGAGTAACTTGTATGAAAGTAACTTGTATGAGAAACTTGTATGAAGACAGTATGTCCTGAAAATAATTGCATTATTTATTAAAGAATCACATTAAACAATCCTGTTTAAAATTGACTAAGCCAGGCATGAGGGTGCATGCCTGTAACCCCAGCACTTAGGAGGATCTAGGAGGATCACAAGTTCAGAGCTAGCCTAGGCTACCTGAGATCATGTCTCAAAAACAAACAAATTAGTTGATTAAAACTTTTCCAAATGTTGTAAACCAGTGGTTCCAACTCTGTGACTACTAACTACTAGAATCACCTGGAAGAATTTTAAAACATATTAGTGCTTGGGCCTCAGACCAACTGAAGAGTTTAATTAGCGTAGGGCATTGGCACCAGTGTTTTTTGTAACCTCCACCAGATGAGTCTATATGTACCTAATGTTTTGAATGAAATAATTAGAAAACTGCCTGAGAGTCTGGTAAAACAGGAGTTACTCTTTAATACCATTGTTTGAGGCTGGTTACCGATAAATCCAGACTTAGCACCACTAAGAGAGGAAATCCTGGAAAAATGAAACTCCCATTATCTGTCTGAAGTAAAGCATACTACTCTCTCTCAGGCTCCAAATCCATGGCAGGCCCTGGGGTAGGCAGAGGCCCAGCCTGGCAAAGCAGGGCTGAGTAAAAAAGGAAAGTGTGTTGTTCCTGGGGCAGATCTCATCAAGTCTCCTGCCACAGCTGGCTTCCCTTTTATTGGACTTTAGTCTTTGTGAACCTTGGATCCTGCAGTTCCCAAGTCCTGGCTGGCCTGTCCATTCTTGGCCTATTGCTGTTTTCTAACCTTCATGACTCTTCCATCTGGATGCAAGGTCCCGCTGCTCAGGTTGTCACCCCGGTTACAAAGGAAGTAGTTTCTGCTGTTCCTCTAGTTTTTGAACAATGATAGCTATTATACATGTGAGTTATCTTGTTTTACATGTATGTTTATATTTTACTTACTGATTTTGGTTGTTCTCTATTTTTTTGTTTGTTTTTGACACAGGGCTTCTCTGTGTAGCCCTGGCTGTTCTGGAACTCTCTCTCTATAGACCAGGCTGGCCTGGAACTCAGAGATCTGCCTCCCTCTGCCTCCAGAGTGCTGGGACTAAAGGCATGCGCCACCACTAACTTACTTTAGGTTTTTGGGACAGGGTCTCACTACATAGCCCTAGCTGGCCTGGACTGCAATATCTAGAGCAGCCTTGGTCTTGAACTCACAGAGTCACCTCAGCCTGCTTCTGCCTCTCCAGTGCTGGAATTTAAGGCATGCACGAGGATACCCTGAGTCTTATTTTTACTCTTTAACTGTGTCCGTGTGTGTGTGTGTAGGGAGTGCATGAGTTCAGTGTCCACAGAGGCTAGAAGAGGCTGGTAAGTCCCCTGAGCTGAAGCTGGAGTGGTCGTGAGTGCCCTTCCCCACCCCGCCCCCGCAATGTGGGTGCTGAGGACCAAACTCAGGTCTTCTGCAAGAGCAGTATGTGTTCTGGATGCTGAGCCAGCTCTCCAGTCCCCCGTTTTCTCATTTTAAAACACCCTCACTAGAGAGCTCCCGAGGCACTGAAGTCAACAAATGTGCACGAACACATCCACATGCTTGAGCCTTCCCAAATAAAAAACGGTAAATGGCCTAACTCTGATGAGAATTTCAGACCTTCAATGTTTTTGCTTGTTTTGTTTTGTTTTGTTTTGTTTTGTTTTGTTTTTTGTGGTAAAGGGAATCAAACCCTCTCCCTCACACACGACAGACCAGAACTTCCCACATGAGCTACAAACCTAGATTCTCAGTGTTAGTGTTATTATTTGACACTTAGGTTTTTGAAGTCTGATTACACTCTGGTATCCTCTGGTGAAATTTGACTTTGACATCATTTCCTGTCTTTTGTGTATACTTTTCCACAGCCAAAAATCTTAAATTGGCGTAGATCTTTGTGTATTGATGTAAATTTAAGGTTATTTTTGACACACATATTGCATATAGGTTTCAACTCTTTTATACTGTATTGTACCTATTCAACTCATTCAACAATGCAATGTGAAGTGTTGCAGTAAATTGAAAAATTGCTGTTGGGCTATAGTTGTTTATTATTAGCTCTATGATTATTGAGGCGGTACTATCTAAGCTGCTATCACAAATAATGAGACACAGACACCTGTTAGATTTAATAATTGCCTGATTTACCTTGGGCCGGGCAGATAGTTCACCTACACTGTCTCAATAACCTCACCATCCATCTCCCAACCCGCATCCAATGCCATTCACCTTAATCCTCATCTGGTCTACCTTCCATACATAATCTCATGGTACTTGCTTCTGTTCTTCATCTGAGCCTTTCCAGGCCATTACTGGAGCCCTTTCTCCTCACCCACATGTTTTTTTCTCCACACTAACCCGATGGCATCCTCCTTCCTCCTCTCTTCCTCTCCGTCTGTTTCCAAAGATTCTCCTCAAAAGCCTGGGAACCCAGGCCACGCCCACCCCATTCTGCCCTGCCCAGGTATAGGCTGTTGAATCAACCAATCAGGTATGTCTTAGGCAGATTTACACAAACAAGGATGGGTGTGTCTGATGGGCAGTAACCAGATCTTCAGGGCGAGTAATTAGCATTAGACCAACCTCCAACAGTGAAGTTCTAGTCCTTTTGAAAGCTGCTATTACAAACTGTTTAGGATACTTTAAAAATGCAAGCTAATAGTCATTCAATCAAACTCATAGTCGTATTAGATACTAGTTTAGTTGATTACAGAAATGTGTGTCCCAGATTGAACAGATAGTTATAGCTAGAAACAAGCAGTTTGCCTATTCAGAAATACTATAGATCGATGGTCTTCAAAACCTGTATTCTATAAATCCACAGAATACAGACTTTTTGGGCAGTGAGACATGTCAGCTCCTGGCAGTACCCCTCTTCTGCTTCAAAGAAACTGATGGGCATTGAAGAACCTCCATATGGAGTTTGCTTCAAAAGTGTCAAGCTAGCCAGTGGGGAGGGGAGGGGCTGCCCTTGCTTCAACTGCCGATAGCATGCTGTCTAAGCTGTGGACAAGCAGCACACTGAAGTAGCCAATTGCTGAGCTTTGCCTAAACAGGGCAGGTAAGTCCTACATAATCCCTGCTTCACAAAAAAAAAAAAAGTCTGTCAGGTATCTGGGGCCAGAAGGCTGAAGATGATGCTCCAACATTGCAGAGATGTCCAGGCTGCCATCTGCCTCTGTCACTTCTGTATTTTGGAAGCTGCTTTATTCTGCACTTTCTACATTCTCAG